TAGAAAAAATAAGCTCAAATTCCATCTCTGTAGAAGTTTAGACTCTAATGAGACAGATGGGAAACAAGCACTTACAACATAATACATAAATGCTGATTCAGCAGGAAAGTTGCAATGGAAATAATACACTTGGGTCAAGAACAGTTAGGCAAGATTTTATAGAAGAAGCAAACATGAGATAAATTTGAAAAGTGAAAGAGAGGAATGGAAGGATATGGCAAAGAATGCTACCAGCTGAGGAATGATAACATGTTATAAAAAAGCAGAACCAAGGGGTCATAGTCTGAAGTCCACAGACACATTCCTCCAACAAAATAAGGAAGGTTTTGACCCGAGGTCAATAACACAAGTAATGGAGGGATTAAAAATAAGATATCTCACACAAAACTGCAGATGTTTAAACATCCCAACTAAAATTTTTATTCGTTTATTTATAGTTGTTGTCTTGAGACAGACTCTCGCTATGTAGTTCAGGCTAGTCTTGAACTGTCTACCTCAGGCTGGCCCCAAACTTGCAGTAATCCTGCTTCAGCTTCCCTAATTCTGGGATTACATGAGTGTGCCTGCATGCTTGGCTTCAAATCTAAAAATGTTCATTTCTTTCAAAATAATTTTATTTGGGGAAGTTAACATTAGTGACAGTTATTTGCTCAATTTCAGTATCGAGTTATTGTTTATTCAATTATCAAACTGTTTAGCATCCAACATACAAGGTTCTAGTAAAATCAGCATGTGAAATAAAAGATATATCTCCATAATATCACTATCGTTTTTATAGTAAATGTAAAAATATCCCTAAAGAAAAAATTTAGACCAATCAGCTCTTAGGGCACAGACAGACACTCAAGCCAAAGCAGAGCATCTAGCATAGCTGACACAGCAAGGATACTGGCACACACCTGGATCACAGTTTGAAGGCCAGTCTGTGCAACCTAGTGACTTAAATCGAAAACCAGGGAGGGAGGGAGGGAGCGAAGGAGGGACGGAAGGAGGAAGGAAAATATAGCTCAGTATAAAGATGCTGGGCTCAAACCCCAGTATTACAACAAATAAAACAAAAAAAAAAAAAAGCAGAGAGACTGGGCATGGTGGTGCACACCTGTAATCCCAGCACTTGGGAGGCTGAAATCAGGAGGATCACTACGAGTCCAGTCTAAGCAGTGAGACCCTGTTGACCCTGTGTATAAATACATTAAGAAAGAAAGAAAGAAAGAAAGAAAGAAAGAGAAAAAAAAAAAGAAAAGAGAGAAAAGAAAAAAGAAAACCAGAGAGGTCCACAACCACAACCATTTGTGGAAGAAAATTCTATCTTTTTTTTTTTTTTTTTTTTTTCTTTTTTCTTTTTTTTCAGTACCAGGGATTTAACTCAAGACCTTGTACTTGCCAGGCAAGCACTTATTCTACTGAGCTATCTCCCCAGCCCTATCTTTTGTTTTTAAAAGTACACATTTCACATTTTTTAAAATACAAGCCACTGTATTATCATGGGAAGAAAATACGCTAGTAAATGTGAGTCCAGGCACCTTGAAACATACTCAAAGAATTTAAGAACTTATTTAATGACAAGGCTCATAAATATATATAAGTTTAATTCATTTTTCTCACTTGAGCCATTTAAGTTTAACATATATACATGACAAAACTTGCTTCAAACTGCAAAGTTAGAGAACAATTTACAGTGATAACTAATAAGCAGGGAGAGTACAGCTTCCTTGGAGATCCTGATACATTCTAAAAAATGAACGTGAACTTGTAATCACCATGACACTGTAAATACTCTAACATAAAGTTAATGTTTCTATAATAAGATAAACTTCAATTTTTACTCTAAAAGCAAGTATTTTGATAAAGGGAATAATTCACTGTTGTATATCAATTAATTCATTTCATCAACCTGAAAATTACATTATCACTTAAAAGTTAAATGAAGCATATTTAAGAGTAGGGATGTGATATTAAATTAACAACCACCATCTCTTGCTATACAATATACTGCTAGACAGCATTTCACCTTGTTAAACTTCAAATAAAAATAGCTTTCCAAAATAATTATAAAAATAATAACATTCCTGGAAATCAGCACCATTAATACTTTAGTACATACTCTTCACACATACACTCTCTCCATGTGTGTGCTTTATGCACAGGGGATTGTAAAATGGTACTGTTGCATATACGGTGTGATGCTATTAACTAGTAACATAAGGGAAACTGCTAAATCAGTGAATTTAGATATCAATATTGTTTTAATATGAGATGTAGATCCCCCATGGGCATTACTATATTGCCCCAGGATAGTCCAAACTCCTAAGGATTAAGGGATCCTCCTGCCTCAGCCTCCTGAATAAAATGAACTATAGATTTGATGTAACCCACTGTAGCCAGCTAACAAGGTCTTTTTAAAGCATGATCCATTGAGAAGCAGAAACTATAAAGGAAAAGACTTAATAACATAAAAATTTTTAAATTCCATATAATGAAACAAATATATATCATAAAGACAAGCAAATGACAAAAATAAGGTGAAACTGATAATTAATATCATAAGTAATAATAAAGAGCTTTTCATTATGTTTTAATCATTCTCAACTAAACTTCCATATATTATTCTAACTTAAAAGTTCTTCCAGATTTTTGTTTAAATTATTTGAATATGCAAAGCAGAAGTGTCATAGTTGTACCCACAGGGTACTTAATAAACTCAAACACTTGCTGTATAACAAATTTCCCAATTATTACTAATTAACAGTTTGCTCATTTAATAGATTCAATGTCAAGTTTGACAAAGGGAAAGCTCAAATGCTTTACTGTAATACAGATATAACAGCAATCACCTAATTTAAAAACTCGTTAAACTGATAATGTACATGGCACCATACTTAAGAGGCTACAGGCAATTGATTATCTGAGAAAAAGAATCAGATTTGAACACTAGTTCACACTATACACAAACATCAACTCCAATTTTTTTTTTTTTTTTTTTTTCAGAACTGGGGATTGAACTCAGACCCTCGCATTTGCCAGGCAAGTGCTTATTCTACTGAGCCATCTCCCTGGCCCCTTCAAATAAGTATTGTAAAAAATAAAATTCCAGGGCTGGTGGAACAGCTAGCAGACTAAACATCTGCTTAGGCAAGCACAGGGACCCAGGTTCAATCCCTGGCACCACATGTTGCACCAGCCCCATCCTAGGGTATGCTGAGCCAGCCAATGAACCGGGTGTAGTGGTGCATGCCTGTAGCCCCCAGCACTGGGGAGGCTGAAAATGGGAGGATCACCACAACTCTGAGCCAGGTAGTGAGACCCTGTGCCAAATACATTAAAAAATATAAAATTCCAAGTGCCGGCCAAATAGCTCAGTGGATTTAAGCACCTGTTTAGGCAGCCGCATGGGCCAGGAGTTCGATCCCCAGGCCTGCCATGCCAGCCCCACCCCCAAGGTGTGCCAAGACAGCAATTCAGACTGCATGTGGTGGCACGTGTCTGTAACCCCAGCACTTGGGAGGCTGTAAACAGGAGGATCACTACAAGTCCAATCTACGCAGTGAGACCCTGTAAACCCTGTACAACCTGTCCTAAAATACAAATAAATACATAAATAAAATTCCTAGAAGAAAATATAAAAAAAACTTATCCATGGCCATAGTATAAGCAATAATTTCTTCTCAAAAACATGAAAGTACCCCAACCATATAGGAAAAAGGATGACAAAGTGGGCCACATTACAAAGGGAGGAGTTAAGCTCTGCAACAGAGCACTTGCCAAGCAAGAATAAGGCAATCGATTTAATACCCAGCATGACAAAATTAAGTTAAGTGAATAATTAATTCATTTTAAAAACTTTTCATCATAAAGATACAATTAGAGAATGAAAAGGCAAACAGTGAGTACAAGAAAAGTACCCATAAAAGCATGTAACCAGAAAAGAATTCTTAACCAGAATGTAGAAAGAACTTCTACAAGAGATACAACATGAGCAAGAGATCTGGATACCTGACAGAAGGCCAACAGACAAATGACAAGGTAACATTATCAACAGCACAATACAAATCAAAACCACACCCTTACTCTTCAGTACATGCAGTAAGGCTACTGGTGGGAGTGTACAGTAGTACAATCACTTTTTAAAAGAATTATAGGGCCAGTGAGATAGCTTAGCAGACTAAAGTATCTGCTTAGGCAAGCTCAGGGACTGGGGTTCAATTCCCACCCCTGGTCCCACATGCCGCGCCAGCCCAGCCCAACCCCTGGGTGCATAGAGCCAGCAACCAAGTCCAGGCATGGTGGTGCATGCCAGTAACCCCAGCACTGGAAAGGCCGTAAACAGTAAGATCAGTACTATTCCGAGCTGTGTAATGAGACCCTGTACAAAATACATTAAAAAATAAAAAAATAATAATTATGAGCAGTATGATGCCAATGGCATGCACCTGTAATTGCAGCACTAGGGAGGCTGAAACATAAGGACAGCCAAGAGTTCAAGACCAGCCTGAATACATAGCAAGAGCCTGTCTCAAAAAAAAAAAAAAAAAACAACCAACCTCACCACCACCAAAATTACAGATAGTATGAACTAAATTTGAAGATGTCGAGTGATCCAGCAACCTGTTCTTAGGTCTATACAATCTGCACACAACACATGCTGAAATGCACACATACGTTCACCAAAGACACACAAATTAACATTCACAGCTGCACTTGGAATAGCCAAAGCCTAGAAGTGATTTATCCACAACAGAATGGACATAAAATGTGGTTCAATGGTTAAACACAAAACCATGCTTAACAATGAGATTCAGCTATCATGCCTGATCATCTTCCTTTTTTTTTTTTTTTTTGCTCTGGTCATAAATACAGTTTATTTCATTAGAAATGCATAATTACAGTGTATGGGGGGCTTTTCCCCCTAGAAAAGTAGGTAAGCAATATTTCCATCAAAATCATTAGCTTTCTTTTGCAAACACCTGTTTTCATGACACTGGACAGAGCACAACAGCAAAAGGCTTCTGCTACTCCAGTTTTTTTTCTATTTTCTTTTTTGTTATAAACACCATAGCAAATTAAAAAAAGCTGTTTAAACAAAATATTGTAGTTCTTGATTCTCCAAGTGTATTTTATATGTTCTGTGCTGCTTCCCCTGCAGACACTGTCAGTGTGATTCGAACTGGGGGCCCTCCTTGCAGGGTTTGGCTGGGACGCAGTCCCCTGTGGCAGAGGTGGCTTTCAGACCCGTGACAGTAGAATTCGCAGTCACCCCTAGCCAACTTCGAGAGCAGGGCACATGGAAACCAGGTTGTCAGCTGGGCCGCTGGCGTGGCAGTCCTGGTGGCGGTGGCTGCCCTGCCTCACTGGATCTGGATGGCCCCATGCTCCAGCTGCATCTCGGGTTGCAGGGTGGGCTGCAGGGTCTCGGCTGTCTGTGCTGTGGCTGCGTGCTCACTCACAGGTGCCAGCTGGACATACTGAACCTGGATATCACTGCCCTGGAGAGGTGATCCATCCACACCAGCTGCAGCAGGGTCTGAGGAGGCTACAGCAATCAGCTGGGCTCCCTGCAGCACCTGTCCATCCTGGCCCACATGATGGATCTGCAAATTGCCCTCGCTGTCCTGCGTGATCTGCACTTGCTCCCCCTGCGGCACCTGGGCTATGTGGAGATGGCCTACTTGCACCTGGCTGTCCTCTCCAATCTGGTGGATCTGCACCTGCTGGGCGTTGGCCAGAGTATAGTGCAGAGCTTGAGGCTGTGGCTGCTGCAGCTCAGGGGCAGGTGGTGGGGTGCTCATCATGGTCTCTGAAGTGCTATAAAAGGACGAGGACGGTGTCCTCCGGGAGAAGCTCTTGACTGCCAGACTCTGCCCTCGCTGTTTTCGCCGCCACGCTGTCCGGCATTTGGAATCGATGCTCTGTTTGATTCGATACCAGTCAGATTCTGTGATTCCAAATTTATAGAAAAGGTGACACCAGATGCCATAGATGGTTGAGGGGGTCGAGCTGCTTCTTTCCATGTTTGCCCTTACCAGACAGGTTGGACACAGCCTGCACCTCACAGTGGAAGAGGTAGTCCAACAGCGTGAGCGCCATCTTCTCGGCAGTACGGCAGTTGGTGCTGATGTGCGGCATGTCAGAGGGGATGATGGCACAGCGCACCTTCATCTCGGGGTTGTTCTCATCACCAAGCCAGGTGCCATTGGGGTAATCCTCTTCTGAGTTCAAGGTGATTAGTGTGACGTTGCTCCCGATGTTCTGGCTCCCAGGCTGGCCACAGTTCGACACAGAGTCACTGGCCTCTGACCCACTCTCCCCATCTTCATTGTGGCTGTCGTCTTGACCTGGCACCTTCACCACAATGGTGTTCTGCCGCCGCCCAGGAACAGCATTGCTAATGATATTTTCCAGGGAATCCGGTGCCCTGCTGCTCAAGGGGTCTTCCATCTTGGCTACAATGGCGTTCTGCCGATCATTGTTGAGTATTACTGTAGTCTGGGGGACGACGCATCGTACTTTGTTGCAGGTCTGGGTGGCACCGAGTGGGGAGCCCGCCACCATGGGGACCTGGATGGGGCTATGTTGCTTGTTGGTGACCAAGTCCAGCTTCTCTTCCAGGGATTTGCATGTGGCCTCCAGAGCTTGCAGCTTGGCCTCAATGCTATCCAACCGTAAGCATATGGTCTGCTTAATGGAATACAGAAAAGACTTTATAGAAGGATCCTGGCAATTGATTTCTAGTCTCTGGCATTTCAATGCAGGCTCACCAGGCTCATCTTCATCCGTTACCACATGACTCTCCAAGACAACTGGGTGGTCAGGACTCAGGTCTTCCACTGCGATCTGAACCACATCCACCAGGTCCTGTTCTGACATCATCCAGAATGCAAGAAGAGGGGCCTGCCAAGGCGCAAGAGTCCAGTTCACAGGGGGGCACGATGGCTGTCACCGTGTGGGCTGCGGAATTCTCGTGGTGTTTGTCTCATCTTCCTTTTTGACCTAAGCATTTAGCAAGATTTACATAGAACAAGCTCACCATAAACACTGAGTAATCATGTATACCTGCAAGCGAGAGCTCAAGAAGAGCTCCAGATAAAGCACTCCCAAATGAGAAGACCTCTAGAAACAAGGAAATGACCTCTAGGTGCAGCAGAGAGCAGTGAGTGGGCAGTGGGAAGTGGGGGTGTGCAGAGCTGGCTTCCTGGGAGAAGCGGTGCACCACATTGGTCTGGAACGAAGGCTCCAATCTGCCTCAGACGTTGATATTTTAAAAGTTCTACAGATGACTGATAATTCGCAAAGACTGAGAATGGGTCACTATCCCACACTTTCTATGTAATTTTGTGAGAAAAGAGGGAAAGGATGCCAGGAAATGTGACACACAATCACATATACCTTTATTCCCCAGTTAAAATATGCTTTTAATACAACAAGCATTTTAGGACATTCTAGAATTAAAAGCTATATATACTTCATCATAAATCTAACAATTTATATGAATTTTGATTCTTAAGGTTTGGGTTTTTTTGTTTGTTTTGGCTTGGTTTTGGTTTTGGCTTTTTTTGAGACAAGGTCTTGCTATACAGTCCAGATTGGCCTTGAACTCACCTAAGTAGCCCAGGTTGACCTCAAACTCATGACAATCCTGCCTCAACCTCCCAAGTGCTGAGATTACAAGCATGAGCCACCACACCTGGATAATTCTTAAACTCTCCTTAATGTTGGTGAGATTAAAATAAGATAATGTAATCCTTGAGCAAGTCCCATCATTTTCAGTTTCTATTCTTTCATCTGTAATAGGTTAGAACAAACAATCCTTAAGGAACTGCTTTTGATTTTGATGTGACATAACTTCATGTGACAATTTTAGAAATAAAAATTTTTGATGAGTAGCAGAATTCTTCTACCTCCCACTGCCTCTAACACATTAAAAATCCCTTATTAAAATTATTCTGTGGTAATTTTTAATAGATGATGTCGAATCTATTGGACATCTCACATTTAAAAAAACAAATGCTCAATCAAAAGAACCCAGTATTTTGTGCTGTGCTGTGCTGTACTGTGCTATGCTGTGCTATGCTGTGGGTAACAGATGAGATCATTTATATTTCTTTCAGCACAGCAGTAGCAAAGTCACTACCACGTGTACCCATATCCATCCCCCTGGACTGCCAGACTACAGTAAAAAGAGTATTTACTAGTTTGTTTGGTCAGGAAACTTTGAAAAGCTTGGAAGCTTGGGGGTTTCAGTAGTGCATACTTTTGCAAATACAGCTCTGCTAACTCTAATTTTTTTCTTGGTAATGCAGAATTACACGGATGCTCTCTGACCACACTGATGCTGAAGCATTCAACATAAGAATGATTAATCACTGGTGAATCAGCCTTTTGTTCCTTTTCTGCCGTTTCAGAACCCTTCCTGATGTTTTCACCATCTAATGTCTGGTCATGTCATATCCCAAAGCACACTGCCAGCAATCACTCTGTTTACTTTGGCCTGCGTTCAAGTCTGGATAAAGAACTCTATCCAAACACCTCTTTCAGATCACAGAGAGGCCTCTCAGCAGCAATCAGAGATAACATGGAGAAGAATTTAAATTAAGGCTAACAACATTTCTATATCCTCCAATTTTCATTTTCAAAGGCAATCAAATAGTTTTTAAATATATTAGAATGGGTCAAGAAAGAATATAAACTAAGCTTTACAACACAAACAGTAAACATTTCGACAGCACAGAAAAAACTAGGTTTTAGCAAACTAAAACAGTTTAAAGAAAAAACCACATAAATAGCTGTTCTCTAGCATAAGCAGAAAACATTTTTTAAAAATCTGAAATGCAAAATAAACTATAGAATTTAAAAGAGAATAGTGCACCAAAGATGAAATGATAAGAAATAAAATTACAATGAGATTAATACAATGAAAATCACTATGCATAGAATTAAAACCTGAACAAATGCTGAGAGGAATCATTTTTAACAAAGGCTTATTTCTTCCACAATAGAAGTTACAATAACATATAAAGATAGATGTTTAAATCAATAGCACCAGGCCCAGGGAAATGGCTCAGTGGAATAAGCGCTTCCCTGGCAAGCTCAAGGGCCTGAGTTCAATCCCTGATTCCACCAAAAAATAAATTAATCAATCAATAGCACCAGTTAGTTGTAAGAGGGCTTTCAGTTAAGTTTGCCTTAAATCTCAGAGGAGACTTAAGATATGTTACATATACGTACCAACTACCATAAAGAATATATTAATTATGTATCACAAACATATATTAAAAAATAAAAACAAATTGTAAAAAAAAATTTAAAGATATATTATCTATCTCCATCTATTTCTGTCAATTCCTGAGTGCCCAAATTAACAATAAATTATGCTAAAACACCATCAGCTCCTACTCAAACAGCTACAATCATCACAATAGCTAACATGAGCAGAGATAGGATAACACATCAAGATATTTTCCTTTCACTAATGACTCTCCTGTTTTGCACTGAATTTTTTTTTTTCTACTATGGAGACTGAACCTAAAAACTTCGTGGACTTAGCTACATTTCTAGCTCTTTTTAATTTTTGAAACATAATCTCCCTAAGTTTTTACACTGTCCAAGCTGGGTTCAAAGTTGTGGTCCTCCTGCCTCAGTGTCTTAAGAGTTCTGACATTACAGGCATGTACAACCAGGCCTGGCTCTCATTATAATTTCTTTCATAATTATACTATGTCTCACAATCTATGCAATGTTTGTGGAAATAAAACTTTATTTAAATTGCATACACATATTCATACTATGTAGTAAAACCAAAAGATTCAATAATTAGTTAATATGATGAACAAGAATATAATTGTTATAAATTAACAAACCGTAAGTTTTTTTTTTACTTTTTTTAAAATTTAATTTTATTTTGATGAGTAAAAACAAAGGCAAAAACAAACAGCAGAAACAAAGACAGAAAGAAGGTAGCATACAATACATGTTAGTTTCTAAATAAGAACGGTTAGCAATGATTGCTACATTATCTATTTTTATCATCAAATCTGTTGCTCAGATTAACAGATAGTTATGCAAACTGGATGAATTGAGTACTACTCATTTTTCTTGTCTTTAAAAAACTTAGAGTATAATTGATAAGACATTAGAAACAATACACATTTAGAAGACCAAGATGAGAGGTACTCAAGCATGGTTTTTGTAGTACACATTGCTGTTCTTGATGTAGTTGATCAGATCACAGATATCTGCATACAATTAGTCAAGGTGAAAATTCTACACGTTATTTTCAAAAAACTGATGGGAACTATTAGTACAATTATCTCAGCCTTCCTATATGTATACTTACATGATTTTCCTCCTTTTCTCCTTTCTCTCATCTTTGTTGCTTAATCCTTGTTTCTTTCCATTTTACTCTACTAATATCTTAAGGTTTTATATGCTTTCAAGTTTTTACACTAGGATCTGCAGTGTAATTTTCATGTGGAACTTTGCCCAAGAGTTAAAGGCATGGTCACTAGCTGTGGGGTTATGGGGAGGTGGTAGGGCCTAGTAGAAGCGAGGCATTGGGATGTGCCCTTGAAGGGGACACATGGGTGCTGGCTTGCCTTCTCTGCCAATACCTCCCACACCAAACCGTAAGTTTTTGTAGAATTTCTGCAACACATGCAGTTAGAAGAGCTACAAAGATGTCCACACGATAAGCTCCACTTGAAGCATTCATTATTAGCAAGGCAACTGTAAAGGTTGATACAGTGTGTCAACTTGAGAAGTTTAGAAGTTTAAGTGACTCAGCAGGGGGCCAGGGTCCTCACTTCCTAAACATCCTCATCCTGTGCAGAAGGTACAGAGATTGTGTGAATGGTACAGCTGCCCTTGGGGGAAGGAGGGAGTAGCCTGCTTACATTGTAAGGGAGGAAAAGAGGTTTGCTCTTCTCTACTTCCCTCAATTCTGCCACCCTGAAGTAATGCTCCTGTGCCATGCCACCCTACTCTAGAACCAGCTGACTATGGCTTGAAACTTCCACAAACTGAGCTGAACAAACCTTTCCTTTCTTCATTTTGGGTTTCAGGTATTTTGTCTCAAAAGGAGAGAAAAATAACCAAGAGAGCAAGCAAAATCAAAATTTCTCAACATGTTAAGAAGCTTTGTAGGCTTGAATCAGCACTTTACATATAATGCCTCAAAAAATAAATTCTCCTAAAGCAAAAGAATACAATTCAAGATATGACCACATGCGGAAACTGAGTGATTTCTGCCAAAACTGTGACTATGAGCCCCCACCACAAACTGCCCAGGTCAGATTAGCTCCATTTAGGACATGAGCCTGCACAACTCAGCATAAGATGACGCCATGCTAAACTACATGTCTCAGTCATCCATGGCTGAGCAGCAAAACACCTCAAAACTCACTGTATGAGAAGGCTAAAGAAACTGGAAATGAAGTCCAATCCCCATGGCAGTAAAACACACACCAGCTCAAGCAGGTTAGAGCTCTTCAAAAATGTGTGCAGGCCAGAGTGTCCTGGCACATGCCTACAGTCCCTGCACTCTCAAGGATAAGACAGGAAGACTACCATGAGTTTGAGGCCAGTCTGGGCTACATAGTACGTTCAAAGCCAGGCATTTTTTAATACACTCAAGTTGACATCATTAATAGTTGCACCTCATGATTCTATAAGTTAGTTAAGAGTTCAACTGGACAGCCTTTCTGTCCTGTCTCAGATTCAATCATTCAGCTAGAAGTGTGGCTGAAACCGAAACATCCAAGATGGATTCAGGCCTCCTAGAGGTATCTTGGTTACTTTGAGACAAAATGCCCTATACCCACAAATTAAAGGAGGAAAGGTTTATTTCAGGTTGTAGTCTATAGAGGTTTCAGTCCACAGTTGGCTGATTCTGAGTCAGGGAGGTATGGGAGAGAGAAGCAATCCATGGGGTGGCAAGCAGGAAGCAGTGG